CTTTTTTTATCACTTTTCTGAAACATTTTATTATTATTATCATTATTTATTTATTTTTGATTATTATTATTATTATTTTACCTCCTGGCCTCTTTTTGTTTTGTTCACTGTTTTCTGAATTAACTATTTTTTATTTTTTATTTTATTTCTAGACCTCTCAACTGCCAACTCTGTTTGCAAGTGCTAACATAATCAAATAAAACATAATACATATTCATAGCCATGTGCATATTACACTGTTTAATGAATGACATCTATTTAGAAAGATTGTAGTTGTGTTCCTGACAGCTCTGGCACAGATATGATGAGGATTTTAATCATGAGCCCTGTTTACGCAATGGCCACAAAGCCCACTGGGCAGTCGTCTCAGGTGAGACTAAACAATTAACAAACTCAATAAGTTGAAAGCTATGTTACAAAGTTATATGACGAAACAATTCTTCAGTCTAATAATATCTGTCTTTATCCAGGTATATTATTAGGCTTAAGACAGGGGTGCGTGGACAGCGAACACTTCCCCCCTGACGTCACACTTCCCTGGCTGCATCTCTCTCAGAATGAGGCTTCTGTCTCTTGGCCGACCGATGACATTAAAGAGGTGTTTGTTCTGGCTAAGCAGGGGAAGAGTTTACGTTACCAGCTGTGGAAGTTTGAGCTGGTAACACAGAGCAACTGTCAACTCAAGGAGATGGACCCTCAGAGAGCCAGCGATGGGACGCGTTACGTGCTTCCTCCTGGTGGCATACAGGATGGTCTGGCAGGACAAGCACTGCTGCTCCTCACCAACACACAGATGAGCTGATCAAGAACACCGAAGACTCTTCTACAGGAGCTGGTTGCACACCTGTATTTTCAGTCCTCATCCACTAGGTGTCGCTATAGTTCGAGTGTTTCTAAATGTGCTGAGCGAAATACGATGTGATAGTTGGTTCTTTAAACCTAAGAGACTGATGCAGAATAAGGTAATTATACTGCATAGGATATTAGGATTTCACAATGAAGAATGGTTACAGAGATAGATTCTTATTTGTAGTTTGGTTTGAAATATATTTCACAAGCTTTTGAAACAAAAGTGGTTTTAAAGAATAAACTGCTAGATTTTCTCATTGTGTGGTTCAAATCCTTCTGTTTTGTAATTGTGGTGTCTGCTAGCTCTCAAGTTTGTGCAACAATTTAAATGGTTTTGACTGTTGTATTTAACAGCATTTAGACAGTTAACTGTTTTGTTGACATGAGGACCAGTATGAGGTAATCCTCTTGACTAATCTGAACATTCGGTTCGGTTCAGGACAAACAAACTGAACGGAGGATGTAAGTCAGATGTCATTTACTGATGACCCTCAGTAATAGAACAAAGTGTTCAGCTGTTCTGATGTCGTCCAGCGGTTTCAGAACCTTTCTGTTGTGCAACTTGAGGAAGATGTCCAAATGTCCAAAACTGGCTCCTCACTCATGTTTTATTCCATATAATGAATTTATTTATTGTGTCTTTTAAAAATGTTTTTGAAAGAGGTGTCTTATGCTCACCAAGGCTGCATTTATTTTATTTTAAAAATACAGTAATATTGTGAAGTATTACAGGTTAATGTGACTAGTGCTTTCATTATTAATATCTTTTAAAATGCATTTTTTTTCTTGTGACGGCAAAGCTGAATTTTCAGCAGCCTTTACTCCAGAGCTGCGTTCAGCCCCGACAAAACGGTGCAAAACGTTTTAAACGGGAACGGTGGTGCGTTGAACACACTGTTCTGATGACGCAAGAGTAGCAACTATGGCAGCTGAGAAGGCCATTCTTTGTGTTCTTTTTGAAGAATTTTCGGAGCCTGATGAAATCAGTATAAATACATGTTTAATAGGCTACTGCAAAATATGCTCGATGTTACAGTCACTGCCCTTGCCGTCCAGAATAAAAGAGAACATCCCAATCGAGTGACAAGGGATTTGTGGAAACTGTGGTTCCTAATTATTGTGATCAAACATTTGCCTCACATTTCAGGATGAAAAGACAAACATTTCAGGTGAAGGATAATCCACTTCTTACCTCCGCTCTATATGGCCTTATTCTTTTTATTGTATTAGGCTTATCATTATTGCTGATCACTGTTGTTGTGCTATGGTATTGTAATATTTACCATTATATAATCAGGAATATAGAAAAGTTTATGAAAGTGGCACTCCACAATACAATCGCAAAATATATAAATATGTATAGCATTTTTATGTTACATTAATCAGTGTCTAGCACACCTTCCTAAGGAAAGGATATGGACCAGAAGACATTGCAATTACTAAATGATAAAATTTTTGTGGAAGTGATTGTCATTTTAACTTCACTTTAATGTAAATTAATTTCTTTAAAAAACTAACTGAATCCAATCAGTATGGTAGTGTTTTGATGATCATTTCTTTTAGTAATGGTGAATCAGGAAGTGAACAGGAGAAACACAGTATGTTATACAATAATAGTTCCAGTTTATTGTATTATATTATTGGCTTTCAAGACAATGATTCAAGGTGATGCAAGTACAGGCATTCAGCATGTCCCTATTGCAATTAAACTGTTGTCTCAAACTGTATTAAATGGACTGAGACAACTCAAAAAGGCATCACACTGTCCAGTTCTCTTTCCAATATAAAACATGTCATCTAAAACATGCAGTACGGTAGCTAGAAACCAATTTCAACAATTTGAATGACTCACAATACTTTGTATAATTTGTAAACAATGCAGTGGATCTCCAAAAGAATGTGTGAGACATTTAGTTCACTGTTTCCAGAGTCAGATGGGGAAATACTGACGGTTGGAATGTTGTGTTGGAACGTTGACAGACACACCAACAGACAGTGTGCAGGTCCGTTCAAGACAGAAAATACAATCTCTAAAGCTGTAAGATAAAAAAAACACACAGTGGTAGAACATCATGTTTTGTAAACTAACGTCAACAAAAAGTATCCAGGTGAGGTAATCACTTTAATATAATGGTTGTGATATTGCATGTGGATGTGCAAGAGGATATGATCTTTTCATGGCTATATCGGAGTTACTCTGAGTTCAGAGTTACATCCTGAAGCAAACATGAAGTGACGATGGGAAAATGTTTTGCTCGTCTTTTTTTAAAGCTGACCACAGCACCTAATTTGAGAACTACTGCGTATCAGCAATGAGATGACATCAGTGGCCCTAACACTTACAATCTGCTCATGCACACCAAAATAAATTTTCCACCACAGTTGAGAGATTAACCATCAGATTTGTTCTTCATGCAAATAAGCTATGATCACTATGAAGCTGAACTCCACAGTGCCTGCTATGGTGTGGAAAGAGCTGAGGTTGGAGGTCATTCTGCTGCGTGTACCAACACAAAAGCTCACAAAACTCACCAAAAAAAATCAGTTTAATAGTCGTTGGTCCACATAAAGATGGATAACCTCTCAAACTTAATCTAAATTTGCATGCATTTGGCTAACCTAGAAAGCAACCCATCTGACGAACACTGCAAACAGGCCAGTCACTCATTGGTTACCTTAAAAACCAATGAACTAAGTGTGAACAAGCTGTTCCAGCAACAAGTGTATATGTCTATCAATTATACCTGTTAGCTTGTGTGTCTATGTAACCAAGGCTAGTTTTAAGAAGCACTGCATCTATTTCTCATCAATAAAGTACAATCTTGGTAGGGTTTAACTATCCTCATTGTCTTGGGCGGTTAGTTAAGTTGACTCTACGACCTTATTTCTGACAAACGCCAATCCGTTTTAGAAGAGAGAGTCATGGAAATATCATACACCGCATGTGTCATCAAGATTAGACGACCACAGGAAATAAAAAAGCGGCAGTCGGCCTGTAGTTTGGCACTTAGACCACCTTTCAGAAATAAATGAGGTATGGGTTAGACCAGTGGTTCCCAACCCTGGTCCTGGAGGCACCCCAAAAATGCATGTTTTGCATGTCTCCTTAATCAAACACACCTGATTCAGATCATCAGCTCATTAGTAGAGACTCCAAGACCTGAAATTGGTGTGTCAGAGAAAGGAGACATGCAAAATGTGCAGTGTTGGGGTGCCTCCAGGACCAGGGTTGGGAACCACTGGCTTAGACTACAGAAATAAAACAAAATTAAATCAAAAACCTTAATTATTATAATATATAAAAAAAAAATAAAATTAGCACTATTTACATAACCATGGAAACCCAAAGAAAAATTTACAAGGAAAACAAAACAAAAAGCACATTCCAGTTTGATAGTGTTATCATCATTTTTGTAGGTAACCCCCCCCCCCCAAAAAACAAGTGAACGTAGCATATATTCTTAAAAGAATAATCATGGCTGTGCGCCCTTAAAATGATAGTTTCTTCTCATCTGTTGCTCCTCAAGTCTGTGTGGGTTCAGTATCTGTGTCTTTTGACTGTGGTGGAGCTTCTGTGGATCTGCAGCACCACACGTGCAAAAAAAAGAATTAAGGACGTGAGCTTGTCGACAAAATGTGCTTGAGTTTTTCCACTCATATTTTGTTCGCTTTTTATCTCTCCGACAGCACAAGAGCACACTCATCTCAGGACTAATATCCTGTTGTGTGCCTCCCTCCATCAACGTGTCCCTACACGTGATGCTTCGGGCTCAGGCACGTTCTGTGCATCCATCAGGGTGAGGTCACGTCCTGCAGCATGTCTCCAAAGATCTGAATGAGGTTGTCCAGACCCCACAGGTAGCCGTCCTCCCGGTTTCCCTCGGCCCAGGGCGTGCGGTGGTCCAGGGTTTGGGGTGGTGGCAGTGGGACGGTTTTACCAAAGTCAATCATCCATACTCGGGCCAGGCCTGAAGCATCATGCACGAATAGCAAAGAACTCCCAACCACCTGATGAGAGACAGAACAGTTTACAGGGCAAAGTTTTAAGCTTATGAAACATGACTACTTGTGTTCCAGAGATAAAATTGATTTGAAATATTTCACAACATGGAAAGAACAGATTCCTCACCTGATGTGTCCTGAAGAACTCTGATGTCTCTAGAGCGCTGCTCAGCTCCTCCAGCCTCTGTAGATAACTCCTCTGAAGGAAAAAAAAAAAAAGTTCAAGACAACTGTAATTAGCCATTGCCAGTTCTTGGATCCTGATTGGTTAATACAGCTTCCCAGTGCTGCCAAAATGCATAATATAGCACTATTGCAGAAACACCTGAAAGTTCTGTATAAAAATACTGTAAATTATAGCCAGAAACATATGTATGTACATTACAATATAGGTCTAGAAATTATGGAAAATGAATTTGCTTCCCCCATAAAAATAAATAAATGAAGGTATACAATTATTTACTATATGTGACCCTGGCTGTGAAAACCCAGCTAAAGTCATTTTTTGGTGATTTACTTTCTACATAAAATCATCCTTCATAAGGTAAAGAACATTGTGAAAATGTAACCTTGATATCTTTAATATTGACTGATTAAGACCATGTCAAAGATTTAAATCATAGTGAAATTAATGGTTGAAATCAAACTTTGAGACTTATCTCATAATTAGATTTTGAGACTTTAGCCTGGATTTCACAGAGAGGGTCACATATTTGTCCAGTGAAATTAATGAATTCACTTAATAAAATAATATTTTAATGAAAATTTTTGTCCTTATCTTTTGTGCTTTTTTAAATATAGTAACACCTGTCAGCTATAGCTACAGTAATAATGTAGCAGGGCCTCTCATTTATTTCTTAATTTGACAAAAGTCACTGAAGGTCAGAACAGCACTTTAGAGAAATCAACATTATTTGTTTTTCACAAGTATGATTATCAAATAAAACAGGAAAGTCACTGGCTAAAGTTAATGAAATAAAAGCTCCAGTGCAGTCTTAAAACAGTCCATTTCCTTTGAAGCAACGTACCAGTAACTGTGTGTTTCCATCCGCAAAGTCACTCAAGGCCTCCATCACCTGCTCCTTATGTTTGGTTTTTTTAAAGCTGGTGTTGCATGTGCCATCTGCTTTCTAAAAAGAAACACAAAGAGTGTGAACAGAGTTGAGCTCATGTTAATGCTTCTTGTTTTTAATAGTAACAAAAAAGTGCAAATTTGTAAATGTCATATCTATAAACAGCAAACATGCATTCAGGAAAGTAGCTATGATGTACATTTACTACTTTAAGTCACCATTTATACCTATATCACAGATAACATCTCATTGGTTTTACTAATCACATCTATAAATAGATTTTGTTTTATTAATGATGTTATCTGTATCTCTTAAAATACTATATATGTCTATATATATAGACACACACCCCTAAGACTTTTTTAATCTCTTATAATCACCAAGGCTGCATTCATTTGATCAAAATACAGTAAAAACTGTTATATTATGAAATATTCTTAATTAATATTCATAATCCTAACTATTCTTAATTCTTAGTTAAATATTCTTAATTAATTTGATCAAAAATACAAAAGAAAGTTTTATTGTGAAATATTCTTAATTAAATATTCGTAATTAGAATTTAAAATAACGGATTCGTATTTTAATATATTTTTTAAATGTTATTTATTCCTGTGAAGTCAAAGCTGAATTTTCAGCAGTCTTCAATGTCACATGATCTTTCACAAATCATGATCCGGTAGTCAAGAAACATTTTTTGTGGAAACGACTGGGCGCTCCTGGATCCACAGCCACCATTTTTTCATACATGTCCTTCCTAAGACGAGGACGCTCACGGGCCTTTACCAGCTCTTCTTCCAGGTATGTCCTGTGGTAAAAAGACCCAATTAATCACACCACAGCCTTCACACATCAGTTTGTGACGTCAACCTCACTCTGCCACCTTCTGCATGTGTGCGTGTGCAGGGCTGTACGTTAACTTTTGTTTCACATAGCACTGGTGCTACAGAGGTTGAAAGTTTTGTAGCACAGGCCAAAAAGTTGTAGCACAAGTATAAAACGTCTGTTATCATGTCTGAAACAAACACAAGTAATGGAGTTCATCACTTAAACAGGCACTGATGTTCCATACAGAGCACAAAAAATACAAACCATCACAAAAATTGTTTTAGACAAAGTTTTCTTAATTTGCTAAAAATGGAAGAGTGCAGAAACATAACACCTCTTACACCTTAACAAAATATAAAATAAAAAAACAATGGCAGACATTTAGGCCAAAGTGAGAAAAAATAAAAATCTTTGTCATTATTTTATCTTTGTTATTACAAAATAAGAACAAAGATATACATTACAAATACACATAATATACAAATAAAACAAATAGTGCTTTATTTTTCAGGTACAGCATTTAGCAGTAGCATTCAAGAAATTGAATGAACAAATATTAAAATAAAACACTATACATCAATTATACTTTTTTTTTTTTACAATTATATTATTTTTTTTAAAGCAACTGACTGATGATAAGTTCATCAGTCAAGAGCAGTGAGCAGATTTTTTCTGTGTTTTGTTGTTTTACTAACATTAAAAGAATAGTTCACCAAAAATGAAAATTCTGTCATCTGTCTTTCAGTAGTGTTTCATTTTTATACCATTCATTTGCTTAAGTTGTTTTAAACCTGAATTAGTTTATTTCGTCTGTTGAACATAAAAGTTATTTTTGAAGAATGTGGGTAACCAAGCAGTTGCTGGTAATTTTTTCCTACTGTAAAAGTCAGTGTGGACCAGCTAATGTTTAGTTACTCACATTCTTCAAAATATCGTCTTTTGTGTTCAGCACAAGAAATAAATTAATACAGGTTTGGGACAAAATGTGAGTGAGTAAATAATGACAGAAATTTAAATTTTTTGGGTGAACTATCCCTTTAATGACAGACAAGGTTCAATGGAAAACTGAAAGCAACACAAGAGAAAATTATTGAGACAAAGTTTTGCAAAAAAAAACTGGTGTGTGTTTTATTCTTTACTATACATTTAGTTTGTTTGGTTAGGGCGGTTTTGGAGTTGGGCGGTTTTAACAAATAAGATCTTTGTAAAAAAAAAATCCAAACATCTCTATTCTCTTTAATCTCTAAGCTTTTTTTCACCTGCTTCCCATCTTGCAATCCATGATTGAAGGGGAGTCGAAGTCAGTCAGCAGATCATCCATTAGGTTGTAATCCTGGTCGTTCTGCTGCACAATACCATAGTAACCAGGTACAAACGGCCGGAGGTTGTCATTCATCAGCTTCTCCAGACACTGCTGCTCACATTCACAATACTTCTTCAACAGTTTCCCATACTCGCCTGCCTGGAAATGATCTACACACAAAGAGGCAAAAACAGCGTTCATTTCATCAGTCCAAAATGATGGGCAGCAATCAGGATACAGGATGCAATACAGGAAGGAGAATTTGTTTTTACCTGCGTGGCCTGCGAGCTGAACCCAAGGATATAGTTTCTTAAATGAAACCACAAATGGAGAGCAATGCACCATGGTCTTTAACTTCCTCCACGATTTAGCCTGAAATCAAAGATCACATATGCACAGATGAGACCAACATACTGCATTTTCTTTCATTTATTTTCAAAACAGAACAGACTAAATACGTGAAAACTATACTGATTTGTGAAACAAACCACATCTTTTTTTCTCTAAACAAACATTTAGTGTCTAGACTGAGTTTCTGTAAAAACACTGACACCGTTTTTTTAGGCATTGGAACTAAAGTCCCAGACTGAGTGAGGACTTTATCAGCGACACAAGGTCAACAAAGAAGCCGTGACGCACACAGCCTCACAGACAGGTTATTGATTATACAGCTCTGATCGATGAGGAATGTGTGAGTGTGGGAAATGACTTAACCCAGCTGTTTGCAAGGGAACTAGAAAAACCTCTTCATGACGTCCTGGGATGCCACTCAAACTTTCACAATCACTGACAACCTCCTTCCATAATTCCTTCAATGTTTCTTGTTTGATCTGTTTTTCAGTTGCTTTGACAGGAACACAGAAACAACATAAAAACTCTTCCTGGAATGAGCAGTTTACAGAATATGCTTGGTCCCGGACCTTATATAACTTGTGAAAAACTCACATACAAATACTGGAGAATACTACTTAAAAAAAAAAAAAAAAAGTTTTTGAGTTTAGAGGAAAAAAATGATGATGAATTAAAGTTACAAAAATATAAAATTAAAACAATTATATAATTGTTATTATGATCACAACAACAATTTGTAATGACATTATTTTATATTAAATTGGGAAAATGCAAAAAAGCATTTCTCTCTTGGTCTGTCCCCTTTCAGGTCTCTTTTCTTTTGTCCCCTTTACAATTCAGACATTCATTCCCTTCTTCCAAACCATCCCCCCTCTCAACGTGTGCTCTGTAAAGTCGACAGCTCGCTCTCCACAGTTAGATGTAATTCAGTCTGTCCTCTCTGTTCCTGAATGACCCCCTTTGACGACACTATAGCCAACAGGGGACAGACGACACCTCATAAAAAGCCTCTGTATTTCTTCCTGTCCTTCTGCATAATTATACACACTTCTTGAAACTTCAGGCAAAGTATTAATTACAATTCACTTTCAAAACAGGCACATGCGCTGCAGTTTATGAACGGAAACAGTATTTCATATATTTAGACATGAAAATTTCTTGCCCAAAATGACTTTATCTATTGTGAAAAGTCAAACTGATAATATCCACCATTGTTAAACAATTACAGCATTATGTTTAATGCTTAAATACCTCATATCTCAATTTTGATTGCAAAATATGCTAACGACTCACGACTGCCACTCCCATTCTAATAATTCTAGAATATGAGCTGTTGTCACGGTGGTAATGGCCAGGCTTTGAGGAGAGTCAAAGTGAGATCCACCCCTGGGTCAAAGGTCAAAGGTCAAACCCACCCTGGACAAACAGAGCCGCTCTATCTTCATGTCTGACTTATCTCAAGGACACACACACACACACACACACACACACACAAAGATGGTTTATTTCAGGGTCATTTGTCAGGTTACTGTTAATAGCAACAGTAACCTGACAAATGACCCTGAAATAAACCATCTTTACAGATCTTTACAGATTAAACCATCTAAACAGATCTACTGCATATCTGACCCACAGAACCCTTTTCTTACAGATTATATATTTTATTACAGCATACTTGATAAATAGAAAGTTCAAAAGATCAGAATTGATTTAAAACAGAAAACTTTTGTAACATTATAAATGTTAGCACTGTCACTTTAGATAACTTTAATGCATCCTGGCTGAAAAGTATTTTTTAAAAAAACGAAATCTTACTGACCCCAAACTTTTGAATGGTAGTGTGTCTTACATAAAATAAACAAACAAAAAAAAAAAAAAACTTGCTTCACTGCTTTATATTATTTGAAAAATGTATTTAATTCAAAGACTACATATCAAAAAATGGCACATGCATTTTAAAATAGATTTTTAAAGATTTTTCCTTTGCTATAACATGGACACTCCTATTTGTCATTGACCCTTTTGTCAAATCGACCCAGCAGTGTGTACGTGTGTGTGTGTGTGTGTGTGTGTGTGTGTGTGTGTTGAAAATACTGTCATCATTTACTTTTTTTTTTTTTTTTTTTTTTTTTCAAAAAAAAAAAAAAAAAAAAAAAAAAACTTGCTTCACTGCTTTATATTATTTGAAAAATGTATTTCAGCCAAATAAAACTCATGTAGTGAAACTAATATGAAAACAGAAATGAAAAGCAAAACAAAAACAGGAAACAATATTATACCCCATCATAAAACATGACTTATTGAGAAGGCAAGGTTAGTCCAAGTTGTAAAATGTCATGTGCTGCACCTCCTCAAAAACATATAGATATTTATGATTTAATATTTCATGATATTTGTAATAAAATAGTTTTAAAAATACTTGTGTATTCAAGAAATTAGGAAAATAAGTTATTACTTTGTACTTAATTGTTACACCACATTGATTGTCACACCAATTTGATGTCATTAAATTGATATATATATATATATATATATGAATTATATAAATATAAAATAATTATTAATTAAATTGTTAAGACACCATGTGAATGTCTCTTACCTGGCAAGCAAGACAGCAGGCAGACACAATGTATGCGCAAATACAAGCATGCACAACCACACACTTAAAACACAGACTTCAAACAAGCGTGCAGAGACCCACGAGTCCCGCACTGCCCTGTAACCACACATGCATCCGGGAAGCAGACTGAGCTGTCACACACACACACACACACACACACACACACACTCACATCATGTGCATGGAGCACTGATTACCTCAGCCCTGATAACTCTCTCTCTCTTTCTCTGTTGATTCCAGGTCTTTCACTCACATGCACTTCTGCAGCTCAGCTGTCTCTCTCACCATCTCAGTCCTCTTTATCAGATCTTTCTCAGATGTCTCCTCTACACATTCTTATCTTACTCTCCCTCCCTCTCTGATCCTAATCCACCTTCCTCTGCTAGCTCTCATGAAGCATATACACTCGTCCTGACACTCGTACATTCACTCCCTTCTTACTACATACTGACAAGCTTATAAAGAAATGTGTAAAAGAACACGTGAACAAAGTCATGATATGAGGGCGTTGCTATGTGGTTGCTAGGGTTATCTGAGTGGTTGCTTTTACTCACTGGCCCAAAGGGACCTCATTGTATTTTTTATATTTCCACTTTAGTTTTGGTTTTAGTAATTTTGTTAAGTGCTTTGTCTTTTTTTATTAGTTATTAGTCAGTTATTTTACTCATTTTAATACTTTCATTTATTGCCAAGGCAACATTTTAAACACTATTTTTTTATTATTATTTCATCTTGTATATACATTTTATTTTATTTCAGCCTTATTTCAATGACAGAAAATGATTTTTAATTATTTTTTGTTAACAATAACAACACTACTCCATATACTCTATACTTGGGATCACCAAATACTCAGGTAGTATTGCCCTTATAATTGTAATGCTAATGCATCCCCACCTATAGCTGTCAATCATCCAATCATTTTTAAAACAAACGTTTTAAAGTTTGCCATTACATGTTTTTTAAAAGAAAATTACCATCCGACTTAATGGATATTCTTCAGTTTCTCCTAGCATGAACATGCAACAACTCAAATTATGTAAAATACACTAAATAAATAATTTTAATAAGTATTAGTACATATTAAATTGCTTTTTTTAGTAAGTACTAGTGATTCAAATCAAGTTATAGTGCCGCCGGCCTTGGCAAACACCACTAATGTAATAAATGTGCTTTTCTGGGCTGTTTGCGTTTGAACACGCTGTAAAAACCCCACCCACCCCATCACCCACCTCCTCCCTCACTGCAGCTATCCAATTTCCACTTCTCCCCTCCCTCTCGTTCTTTTGATCTGTCTCTCTTTCTCACTCTCCGTCCTTTTCATAACAAAGATAAACCTGTCCAACAGCTTCACACCCTCAGAGAGCAAAAGAGCCAGGAACGTTGAGACCGAGACAGCTAGATGTCTTTCATTCTTCCTGTAAACTGTTTTCAAGCTAGTATCTTGTATGGAGTGTGTCGCTTTGTCTCAGAAGTGGCGGAACAAGCTTATGGTGTGAAATCAATTGTTTACATCATCGCAAAGTGCAATGATGTGGGATTTGCTCAGCAGGAAAAGAGTCAAAAGTAACTCGCACATACACACAGCTGTAAACAAAGCACAATAATCTGCGTCATGACCACTGAAGTAAGACACAACACAGATTAAGAAAGAGAAGAAGAAACAGAAATGAGAAGCAACACCATATATGGATTCATGGTTACTTAGCAACAAAAGAACCACCCACAACTCAGTTTTCCATGACAGTGTGAGTGATGATGGCTCAATGATGGCATCAGAATGCGTGTCTGTGTAAGTAGGCCTGTGGATGTCAGCAGCTGATGGAGCAGGGTCAAATTATTCAAAAAACGGACCAAAAAAATGTGAATATGCAGGTTAGATGAGTTTAATGTACAGCAAATGCAAAGGAAAAAGATTTGTGCATGATAACAAACAAAATAAACCCTAACAGGGTGATCAAGATCTTCTAGGGTTTATTACAATGGGACTGATAAATAAATAAAATGACTGAATTATTTTAACATGTGAGAAGAATCGTGAAGTGATATGAGAGACTAGCACTGCGATTTAAACTACCATTTAAAAGTTTACGTTTTTTATTTTGAATTCAATACTTTTATTCAGCAAGGACACATTAGGTTGATCATTGAATTGAATCTTGAAAAAAAGCATCACGGTTCCAACAAAAATATTAAGAGGCACAACTGTTTTCAACATGGATAATAACAACAAAAAGGCTGTCAAGCACCAAATGAGCTTATTAGAATTATTCTTGGATCATGTGACACTGTCAATGTCTGCTGAAAAGTCAGCTTTGCCATCACAGGAATAAATTACTATTTGAATTTTAAAAGATTCAAATAGAAAATGGTTCATTTGAGTTGTAATATTTCATAATATTACTGTTTTTTTGGATCAAATAAATGCAGTCTTGGTGAGCATAAAAGATTTCTTTCAAAAACATTTGAACAATATTACAGATGCTTTTGAACGGTAGGAAATAGTTTTTTTTGGTACTGGTCATTTAAACACTGTAGCGCTCATTACTAAAATATTTGACCATAGAATGCTTCTTTTGACCAATCAGAATCCAGAGTATTCCAGTATTCCAGAGAACCATCTAATAAAGAAATGTTGTTTGTAGAATGAAAAAAAAAAAAAAAAAAAAGAGACCCGGGAAAAAAAAA